AGTCACCATTGTTTGAACGTGGCCTCGAAGGGTTTCTTTTGAAAAATCTCCCTCTTGGTGCGTTCTGCCATCCTTGAATGTAGTAGGGAACATATGCACAATTTGGACAATTTCTGGCAATGTGTCCAGGTGTTCCACAATGAAAACATGTTTGTTTCTTCACGTAGGAGTTGTTTCTTCCTGCCCCTGATGGCGTACCCTTGCCTTGTCTCTGATTGTTCCCACAAGCACACTTGCAGCACACAGTCTGCTTCGCTTGTTTTAGTAGCCTGTATTTACCAACAGCAGGTTTGTCAGAAGTAACATAGTTAGAAGCAACAGATTCAGAGTTCAAGGAGTCATTTGTTTGTTCAATAGTGTTCTCCTTGTTCTCATCTTCCACTACTTTACCTGCACATGAAATAGAAGCATCAGAAGCATTCACCTTAATAACCTCAGTAGGCCCAGATGGTTCAGTCTTAACTGAAGCTGGGACAAGGGTTTGGCCATACTGAGCAGGAATTTCTTCCTCGTTGGTCTCAAGGGGTGGGTTATAGTTGTCATTAAAAGGAGGTGGTACACTATTATACCCAAGACCCTTAGATTGGTTATCTTTGAATTTTAATTGCTTTTCAATCATGGACGCAACTACCTCACTTGATATATCAAATTTCTTAAAGGTAAAATCTGCATCTTTATATTTAGCTTTCAATGCATCAAGTTCGACAGTTAATTCAGCCATTTCCCTTTTAACATAGTTGTAATTTTCACATTTTTAGTTATATTCTTCTTGAAGTTTTCGAAAATACTTAGTTTTGGCCTCTAGTTGTGTTTTTAATGGTTTTTGGGCCTTCCTTAGGGTAGCCTTCATATTTCAGGTCCTCATTTTCTCTTTTTAATAAATCGATTTGCTCTCGGAGAAATTTAATAGTAGTTTCACAAGATTGAGAGCATGAAACTTCATTGACCGGGATGTTTGAGGAACTCATTGTTTTAAAATTTTTTGCCCTTTGACTTAAAACCTCAAAAGTCAAACTTGAGAAGTCAAACCGAAAAGCTAAAAGTGAAAATTTGAAGGTTAAACGAGAAAGTCAAAGTTTAAAGTCAAAGGTCAAACGGGAAATTCATAGTCAAAATTTTAAGGTCAAAAGTCAAAAATGATAGTCAAAAATTAAAAATCAAAATTTTGGGTAGAAAATGAAATTTTAAAATTAAGAAAAATTGATTTTTGGGCTAAAAGTGTTAAAAAAAATCCGAAACTAGGATCGAAAGTATAATATTTGAGTTAAAAAATCGCGAAGGCATATAACAAGTGGCTTGCTAGATGAGTTGGTAAGGCGGTGGGCTGAGAGTATGGGAGACCCGGGTTCGAAACCTTGCACCCCCGGATTTTTGAATATTTGCTGCTACTGAGAACCTGCGAGGACTACACGTGCGAGGACTGGACACGAGGGCTAGACACCTGTTGGCCGAGAACGAGGCTGAACCGAGAACAGCTGGACCGTAAACGCGAGGCTGCTGACACGAGGGCTAGACACCTGCTGGCCGAGAACGAGGCTGAACCGAGAACAGTTGGACCGTAAACGCGAGGCTGCTGATAGAACACGTGCGAGATACGGGGCCGAAACCGGCCGTAAAAGCTTTTTTGGATCGGCCGTGAAAGCTTCTTCGGATCGGCCGTGAAAGCTTCTTCGGACCGCAAATCCTTCAGAGCTGTGCAAAAAATGGCCGCCGGAACTCGCGATTTTTCGACTTTTTAGCACCAAAACTCGATCAAAAAGCCATTTTATGAAAAACACAAAGAAGAAACCCCCAATATTTCTTCAAACTATCCAAAAACGCAAAATCCTTCAAGAAAAAGTGCAAAAACGCTCCAGATCTTGCCAATTTGATTGATACAATCCAAGCTCTGATGCCAAATGTAAGTCCCAAATTTTGCTTGATGTATCAATCAGATCCACATAATGGTGAAGAATCTCAATCAAGTGGATGATGCAAGATCAAATAGAGAAGAAGGAGAAGAATAAGAAGATGAATCTATGATGTATTGATGATTAGAATGATGTTCCTTACACAAGATTCACACACACACTCTTCTTCTCTCTACTTTCTCTCTCTAGAACTCTCCCACCTCACACTCTGGCCGTGAACTATCTTGTTCTCTTTTTTTTTCTGACAGGTTTGACACACTATATATAAGGGACACAAACCACAAACACGTTCACGGCCGTAATCAGGTTCACGGCCGTGAACACCCATACAGTCGCAAACACCCACACAATACTTACAAGACCAAAAACCTATTAAAGCCTAGAAGAGTAAAGTATAAACCATATTTTTAGACCCAACAAAGACGTGCGTTAACCAATAAAGAAAAAATTAATCATGCACATGCAAAACTTCAGATTGTCATTGAGCGTGCTTTTGGTGTCTTGAAAGCATGATTCCCTATACTGAAAAGGATGACACCATTCTCGTGTTCACACAACGAAATATTACCCTTGCATGTTTTATGCTTCATAATTTTATAAGAAGAGAGAGACTACATGATGAATATTTTGCACGATATGATGAACCAAATGTCTCAGTTCGGAATAGGTTCGGAAGAACAGTGTGACCGTTGATGATGATGAAGATGAGATTCCAACACATGGTAGTCCAGCGGAACGTGATATATGACCCAGTTACGAGATGAAATTATCGAGCAGTTGATGTAAAATATGGAATGAGATTTATTAAAGTTTGGTTCTATGAATTTTATTTCAAACTGTTATTGTAAGACTAATTTGGTTGTATGAATTTTATTTCAAAGTATTAAGACTATTAAATTTTTGGTATTGAACTTTATTTTTGGTTTATAAAATTAGTTTATTTTAATATTTCTAATATCTGCAGCAGACTGCAGATGTTAAAAAATAAACACGCTTCTTATTACAGTTTGCAACCGTTTGGTCCCCTCTTTTGCTGCAGAGGGTTGAAGAGGTGGTCCGCAGACTTTATGAATTTTTTGTTTCAAAAAAAAAAACAGCACCTAAATGTGTGTATAAATTAAAAATTATATTACCCTATTAAGTTATTTTTCTCGGCTTAACCTGCAATAACAGTTATAAGGACTCATGTATAAAATAAAACAAGTTAAATGGACAAATATAAACAAAAAAATTAAATAAATAAAAAATAGTGACTAAAAGTCAATTTCCTTAAAATCAATATCTACTTAATTTTTAATTCATTTCACATAATAAATCATAATTAACATAAACTAAGAATCCCGCGTTGCGGGGTTGGAGACGTATGGATAGCAAATCTGTTGTCAAGACTCCTAAAATCTTTACACGCTTCGTTTCTAAACAACAAGAACTTGAATTATACCTGTTTTCTGAATTTCACAAGAATTATGGATCATTCACAAAATTAGTACAAGGAATTCACTCTTTTCTAAGATCAAAACTTGAACAATGCCCCCACAAGGATTCGTATTTTTGACGTGTTACCTACAGAAATTGAAAGGTGAAATGACAGGGAGTAGCCTAGAACCATATAATAAAAAGAAAAAGAAATGTACAGGGATTAAAAGAATCAAGTTCTATAAAAACCCAATGGTCCATGAATCTACAAAATGCTTTTAGGTCTCACCAACAGCTATTTCTTCCCACTATTCTGATGGTGATGTTCACTTAACACCTTATTTCCTCTCTAAACTTCACCTTTTAATGCTCACCTATCATCTTAAAAACTTCTAGTCCCACCTCTACAATGGTCTACAAGTCCCAAAATTAACATAACAAAAACACAAAGTATTAAAGACAAATTGCGTTTGAACAGAGTAAAAGTTAAAGGTGAAAATAAGAATATATGGGGAATATTTTATAAGAAGCTAAGGAATGGACCATATAGACTTCAAGGTGTTATACGATCCGTCCGTAAAACCAACAAGATTCGTGCAATATGATTAAAAGGGATCAAAACGTCATGTGTTTTTAACAGTACGTAGAATATATAAAAATAAAGACAACAAATCATTTGTTAATTACCATCCGTTTACATCCCAACGTGGCATATGATCTATTATCTTGTATCATAAACTCACAACAATTTCTTGTATAACAACCACTCCTGATTTTAGTGTCATCTGACCGTAATTGGAATATATATATATATATATATATATATATATATATATATATATATATATATATATATATATATATATATATATATATATATATATATATATATATATTATATATATATATGAGTGTCACGTATGAGTTAATTATGTATAAGATTAGTTTGATACCAAACACGAAGAATGACAAGGTCGAAGGGATGGTCCTACTAAATTTGACTGAGGAACAATGTGTCTATATGGAGCATTTTAAGAACCTTCTGAAGTATGATCTTTTGGTGCTTGATGGACATTTTTGCCCATCTTCTACAAATGGTGACTTGCCTTCTAAAGATTTTAGAAGGTGAGACACCTTCTAAATATAATTGTTTGTAACTTATGAAAAATGTCATTTCGTCCTTTTTATCCATTTCATGGGTACTATAGGTGTATATACTAGAGATATAGCACTTTCTTGGCTCTCCTAAGAATTTGAACACCCCTGGGCGAAATTATACTTTAAGGAAAGTGAAACTGTTCACAACATAAGATATTGAGGAACTGAGATTATCTATTCGCCATTTTTCCTTTCCCCTTATTTCTAACATAAACTAAAAGATCCAATATAAGTCAATAAACAAAAGGGGAATTTCCATTTGTTCACTTTTTAGTAAGACATTGATGGATTGTGCCATAGAAACAAAGTACAAGACACCATATAACAAAAAGATAGATTTTACAATTCACATCACCTCGAATTAAAGGCGGATTTCCAGCGATCCAGAAATAAAGAATAGCAAAGAATCTTTCTTTTTACCTTTTAAGCCAATCGTTGAAGATTTCCTTCTTTTTCTTTGGTTTAACCACCAAAAAATCTTTCTAAGGGTCTTTGCATGCTGCTTATATATATAATGTCTAGTTCTAAAACACAAAGCCAAGAAAACAAAAGATCCCAAAATGGAGAATTTGAAGAGCAACCCCGATCAAGATGAACCAAAAGATACCTACAAGATAGCTTATATAATCCATTTCTTACTTGGTGCAGGCAATCTACTTCCATGGAATGCTTTAATCACAGCCATTGATTACTTCGGTCATCTTTACCCAGAAAAACACGTGGAAAAAGTGTTTTCTGTGGCTTATATGAGTTCCTCACTTTTAGTTTTAATTATTATGATTAGGAGCAGTAAATTCAGCAGATTAATCACCTTTCAAGTGAGAATGAACATGGGATTTATAATGTTTGTTGTGTCCCTCATGATAACTCCAACCATAGACTGGGCTTGGAAGGCTCAACCGAATGAGAAGTCAAATGCAACATTTTACACAGTGGTTGCATCAGTTGTGATTTGTGGGTTAGCCGATGGGTTGATTGGAGGGAGCCTTGTGGGGTCCGCTGGAAATTTGCCAAAACGATATATGCAGGCTGTTTTTGCTGGAACGGCTTCATCAGGTAAAAAAGGGTAATTTTTGAAGAGTTTAACTAGAAAGATATGTAGATAATAATATTAGTAAAGCTTAGTTTAAAATTAGTTTTGAACTATTTTAAGTCTTTTTAGCATGTGAAAATAATGCTACAATAACATGACGACCTATTATCAATAGCACCGAGGGTCAATTTACTTAGTGTGCTTATCACTTGGTTAACTTTGGTGCTTAAACTCATAGTATACATCAATAAACAATGTTTTTAGTATTCTAACTATGTTTATTATGTGAAAATAGTCCGATAATAGTATGAAAGACTTACTGTCAACAACATGAGATCATTGTTTTAGGGTCTTTTTAGTATGATGATAAGTTGTTTTTCTTGCTTAAATTCATATTATCTTTCAATAAAATAATGTTAAAAGATATTAAAGCAACTTATGTACTATTTAAATCTATTTATTGTGTTAAAATAATGCTACAAAAAGGAGATGACCATAGTTTCGAGTAATTATTAATGTGATCTTGTTTGTTATGTATAATAAATATACTTCAATGACATAATGTAAAAGACAACAAAAGGGAAAAGATCATATGACTAAAGGACCAACTTTTAAACATTTATCATAAATTTACCACTGAAAAATCTTTAAAAGAAGCAATTTTATATGAATAAAGTATTTCGCAAAATAAGTTCTTATTTTGTGCTAAATGTTCAAATTTTGATTTGACCATTCCAATTTTAGTCATTTTTGTGATTAGCCTTAAAAATACTATTGCTTTATTTTAAATATATGTTTACATGAATGACTTACTATCATCTATAACATTCGCTAACAATTTCAATCATTATTCTCTCAGGAATTTTAGTCTCCTTTTTGCGAATTATAACAAAGGCATCACTCCCAAATGATCCACAAGGGCTCAAGAAAAGTGCACATTTATATTTCCTAGTCAGCACCCTCATTCTACTAGTGTGCATGGTTTTCTGTCATCTACTATACAAGTTACCAGTCATGGAACACCATTATAAATCACTCCTACAAACAACTTCCAATTCCACCATTAAATTCTGGGAAGTAGCAAGAACGATTCAATGGCCCGCAATAGGAATATTCATCATATACACCGTAACTCTATCAATTTTTCCAGGATTTTTAGCAGAAAACATTGAGTCAACCCTCCTCAAAGACTGGTACCCGATAATCTTGATCACCATTTACAATATTTCAGATTTTTTAGGGAAATCATGCACGGCAATTTTTGTTATCAAGAGCATTGCTAAAGCTACATGGTGGTGTATGGCGAGGTTGTTGTTGTATCCACTTTTTACAGCGTGTTTACATGGACCTAAATGGGCTAAAAGTGAAGTGTTTGTGGTGTTATTGACTGTTGTTTTGGGGTTTACCAATGGGTATCTGACAAGTGTCATTATGATTAAGGCACCTAAATCAGTGCCACCTTCGGAATCGGAAATGGCGGCGATTGTGATGGCTTTGTTCTTGGGATTAGGGTTGGTTTCTGGTTCTGTGCTTGGGTGGTTTTGGATCATTTAAAGCGGGGAAGTGTGAATTTGTGATTAATGTTGTATTGACAACTCATTAGACATGTGAAATTAATGGATTTTATAATTTTATATTATTAAAACCCGAGTCAAAGAATATGAGATACTTCTACAAATTTGTGGGACAAAACAATGAAGTTGGAACTACTACAATGATTCTTTTAGGTTGAATGTCTCATTCAATTGAAAGCACTAACGATATATTTTTGTTGAAAAATAGAACAAAAAGCAATAAGTAGAACATGATCATCCACTTATTTCTTATCATAATTTATCCAATCAAGTTGTTTGGGCAACCACACTTCACTACAAAAGGTAGTGATCCTACTGATTACATAAGCATAACGACTTCTCTCTTTATCTTGAAATAAAATTGTGAGTGTTACTCGAATTTCAAGCTCCGTCATACATATACGTGTTTAATTATTATTATTATTATTATTATTATTATTATTATTATTATTATTATTATTATTAATTTTTTTTTGAGCAAGGACATAGAAAATATATTGAACTCTTTCAAGTTTATTGAATTCCCATATCATAATTTAATTTTCATACAACTCTGTTATTTTTTATCGTACGATGCGTTGAACTCTACAAACTTTAATGAAAGTATTTTTTAAACTCTATAAATTTCAATAAAAAAAATTAATCATTTATTATGAAACCTAATTTATGACATTTATTTAAGGGTGAAAAAATTTTCTTTTTCTATTAAAAATTCTGATACCCATTGAACTCCTTCATGATGATATCTCATAGTGGTTGTGTTAGATAATATCTCAAATCATACCTTAGTTGTTCTTGAGTTGTATTTACTTGTACATTTCTTGTATCATCCTTGTACATCGTTTGTATCTTCTATTCATTTGTCTTATTCAAGCACGCAAATCATTATGGTTTATCATTATCACAAGGTATCAACTGTATCCCTTCCACAATTTTTTTCTTCCCCCTCGTCTTTTATAACATCCAAATTTTCAAACCATTTTTTCATTTTTAAATTCATATAAAAACATTGTTCATATAAACCATCTCAATAAAATCACAAATGTCAAATACATATCATCCTCAAATATCAGAGTGACCCAAAATAAGCGGAATCATAAACTGCATGCGAATATGCACAATCAAGCATTCGCCTTCTTGCGATCCTCAGAAGTACCTGAAACACATTCAATCAACAATTGTACGCATGAAGCTTAGTAAGTTCCCCAAAATATCATATACAACACAACACAAAATAAATAGCTATGGGTTATCAGCAACCCTAGAGACTACCTGAAGTCTCAGTGGACAACCAACACCCCTTGTGGGTTATCAACAACCCTGGAGACTACCCGAAGTCTCAACACACACAGTAACACATATGACAGTAATAGCACATACACCAGTTGGTCATCACATACAGGTAAGAATAGTGATGAGACTCACCTATGACAGATGACTAAAAGAACTCACACCGGAACTGTCGGAACTAGACTCCACCTAATAATTATACCAATTAACCCTGATTAATAATTAATGTAATTTTCCATACTCTACTAATCCCAAGACAAGTCTAATCCACATTTAGGATAAAAGACTGTTTTGCCCTTTCAAAATTCCTTACGAATCCACTTACGACACAATTGGTCAAAAGTCAGTGAAAGTCAACCCGCAACCGTACACACAGCGTATGCAACTGGTGGGATGTCAAGTCTACCAAGCAAATTACACCATTTGTTTGCAAATAAAATGTAATATAATGGTAAAAAGGGGTATCGATCCTCGGGGAAATGGTTGTATTCAATCACCAATGCAATCCAATAGAACTAGTGTAAATAAACTAACTAACTACAATTAAACTAAAAGGGGGGGTGTTGTGATTGCTTGAAAACTAAAAGACTTGAATAACTAAAAAGCTTGCAATTAAGAAAGATGGTGAGATGCTCAAATATTGGAGACAATTAGTTAACCAAGGCAATTCAACACAATGAACATTTGTGTGTTTATCATTAGGATTCAACATGAAGCTTATCATTCATCCCAAATTGGTTATAGCAATCATGAAGCATGATATACCAAGATTCCTCATAGGTAGTATGGAGGTTGGGGAAGCCCACAACACACCTTCTTAATAAAAATCAAAGATCCAATTGAAGCAATTGAACCCAAGAAGTTGATTAGCCTTAAGAATGAAGGAATCCCTAATTCCTAGAGGATGTCAATGCTTACACATCCATAAAGGAGCTATGATTCATAAGCTAGAGATGATTTCTACCATCATAAAGCTCTTGTTCTAAGTAAATTCAATGATTCAATGCTAAACCAAAAAATAAACCAACAATTGCTCATTCAAGTACCAAGCTCATGATCAAAGTATTAAACAAGCATAAGAAATATGAACTAGAATCATAAACATGAGATAATTGATAATCAAACATGAATCCTTCAAAAACCCACAAACATTCAAGGGTTTTTAGCCAAAGTTAACCAAATAGAGAGTTTAGCCACTCATGGCACTAGAATAACAATCACAAAAACCTAATTGCATAAAGAAACTACCAATAACTTGGAAAGATGAAAAGAAATGAGTTTCAAGCTTCAAAATCGCCTTCTTCTGGTCTCCAATGGTGTAAAATCAAAGTGATAGCTGGTAGATCCAATCCCCCAAGGTAATGGCAAGCCAAATGACCAAAATGCCCAAAACTGGGCAGTTGCGCGGGTACCCGCGCGATGGAAATTCTACCCGCGCAAGTGCTGTTGGAATGATATTGGCTCATTTTTCCTCCACTAACCATCCCATTACCAAAGATTCTCTTGGTCCCCTCCATATCCCACATGATTCAAACTAACCAATCATCTTCTAGCTTCAAATATGGATGCTCCAAGCCCAAAGTAAAAGTCCATGACCCATCTTCACAAGCCCACTTCATCCAAGTCCTTAGCCTTTTTAAAGCCCAAATCTCCTTTAATGGATCCGTAAAGCCCAATAATGCCTCGTAAGCCCACAAAGCCCATTTCCAAGCTAATCATAACCGCAACAAGCTCCAAAACCCTGTAAATATCTCATGCAACATAGAAAGTCCCCGATATGATCCATAATAAAGAAAATAAAAAATATACAATGCAATATTAATAAAAAAGAGCTAAAAATACTAAAATAAACTAATAAAAATAAGGAAATAAAATAAGCTATCAAATCACCCCAAGCTTAAACCTAACTTGTCCTCATGTTAGAACAAGACTAAAATGAGCTCGTGATGAGCTAAACTAAAAAGGGAAAAGAAAGATACCATAGAACTTGGTAAACATCAGTCAACATGGTCAGAATTAGTCTTTCATGGACCCTATGCATCTTCAAAATGTTCCCCGCTATAGAACCATAAACCACATTCTTAACCACTTGATGGGCGAATAGATCACGGCTGGATGTAGTCGCAGTGTGCAAGACAAAGGAAACAGAGGATGCGCCTAGTGGGGGCACTTTAAATCACCAATGTACACCATAGTGCACGAAGGAAAGGTGCCTCTTCACACACTATGATTCCTACATTTTTCAGGCTAAAGTGTATAGTACGAGATAGGGTTTTGCAGCGTGGCCTCCGGGAAAACATCCGGTTTCAGAGGCTTCTCCTTTGTACTGTCCTTTACAGTTTACCATCTCATCATCATAGCCTTTTCTCACCAAAATCAATAATAAAATAAAATAAAATAAGAAAATTCTACTTAACCTAAACTTAAAACTAACAACTTAAATCTTCAATCTTGAACTTCTATTATTTGGTCTTCAGCCTCGTTGTTGCTTGATCTTTTTTTTGTAAATAGAGGTGTTGAACTTGGATTCTTGATCTTCTTTTTGTGTTGCTCTTTTTCTTCATTTTTCTTCTTTGTTTCTTTTTGCTTTTCACTTTTCCAATTTCTTCATTTTTTTGTGTTTTCTTCTTGGAAGGTCTAAGGAATTTCACCATGTAATATAGGATGGAGGCTAACATGAACACCTAATGATCATTGACATTGTGCCAAGATCTACTAAAAAGGGTGGGGAATGACTCAAAAATGGGTGTTACCGAAAAGACTTGGTCCCAAAAGATGTGAATTGGGGGACCCACTTCAAATTTCATCAAGCATATCAATGTAAGGTGTGATAAACAAAATCTATCTAACTATCTACTCTAGACCCCTAGAAAAATTATGACCTATCTTAAAAAGGTGGTGAGAATCTAACTAAGTAAGGCTCGGACGAGACTCGGGAGTACTAAGGGGTACTCCCCCCAAAACCAAGATGCGAGTCTTCAATATCTTCAATGTCTTCAAAATACCTTACCGGGCTAATCTTTGTTCGCACACATCGGTTTGACCAACCACATCCCTCCGCACCTAGACCCAATCAAGCTACCTACATCTGACCCCCACACAAGCGGTCTCAAAGTGGTCTGTGAGGCTCAAAACGTGTCCTATTTCTCAAATACAAGGAATTCCATATCGAGACCCGGGACCAATCTATGATTCAATACTTATGACTCGACGCTATGGTACCTGTAGGGATGAGAAGACACGAGAGAACAAAAATGCATGAATTTAACTAGAATGCATCTAAAACGTATGAAATTTAGAAAAGAAGGAAACAAAATATGCAATATTTTTGAAATTTTTATGCAATTTTTATGAATGAACTAAATGACTTACTCTAAATGCAACTATATACAACCTAAATGCAATTAAAAAAATAAAAGATAAAGAATACCTCAACTCAAGCTTAAAATTAAGCATTGTCCTCAATTCTTAGGATGAGAGTAAGGAAGGATCATACCGGGCTCAAGGTGGAGGAGGCCCGCGAGGGTGGTATCCGCCTTCGGGCCGAAAATGATGCCAAAGATCCTCCATGTAGTTGTTGGTGCGTGCTTGCTGCTCCTCGATGCGCCGAATGGATGCTGTATTCCAGTTGCCCTGGAGGCGCAAGGCGACAAGCTGACTGTATATATATCAATAGGAAACTCGGGTTTCGGCTCGGGCTCATTGTGTTGTGGATAGGAATGGTACTCATGTTGTGTCTCGAAATGTGTTCCCGA